AGTTGTGCTGGTGTGTGGAAGAGGTTTTGTAAACTGTAACGCACTGTCTGAATCGTTGCCACAGAGAGACCTGCCCAGTCTTGTAAGCTGTTTGAGTCAATAATTGAAAGAATCAGGAGGCTTCATCTAATATCCTTAGGGCTTCTCTCTGGAAAACTAGTCAACAGTAACCCCAGACAACTGCCTTGAGCTGGAAGTAGCTGCCAATTCTGCAGGGGGAACATTTCAGGATTCTCTTTCTTTTTAAAACATTTGCTATAGGGTATGCATACTTGCCAGAGACAGAGAGCAGGGGAAGTGAGAAGGCTCCCCGCTGGGGGGGATGACCACATCATAATCCCTTCTCCTCCAAGGATTTTGGGCATGCATGCACACGTGCCTCACATGTTTTTCAAGCCACCAGGTCCAGGACTTGAACTGCACAGTTGGCCATGTGGGTTCCAGTGCCTTAACCATCACACCACCTGCTATCCCTAGGGGGTTTTCTTATACTTGGTTGCTATAGAAATTGAGTTGAGAATCCTTGTAGTGTGTGGGAAGGGCCTTTTAATATAAGGAGATGAAGAGTATGCTTTTCTACATAGACTCAGATCAGATTAGATCATGCTTTACAAAATTTTAAAATTAAAAAGTAATTTTAAAAAATTGCCAAAGGGCATATGCGTGCTCCAGAGAGAGACAGAGAGAGAGGGAGAAAGAGGAAGCGCCTCCAGTGGAGCAGAGTCCTGCTGCAGTCCTTCCTCTGTTTCTCCGTCCTGGAAGAATGCTGGGTGTGCGTGCACCTGCACCGTGTTTCTCAAGCTGCTAAGGCTGGGGTTTGAGACCTGGCTCCCTTAATCACCAGGTTACAGAGCGGCCTCCCTCCCTCCTTTCCTTCCTTCGAGGAGTCAATGAGTGAGAGAGGCCTCGACACTAGCCAGCCCTGTCTACCCATCATGGGCTCTCATGTGCCCAGCTGCTACTCAGGGCACCCTGACTGTGGACCAGGGACCGTCCCATGTGACTCTGCCTTTCAGAGCATTGTGTTTTATCATTGCACCACTATCCGGACCCCTTACAAGATTTTTTAAGATGCCAGCTGGAGGCTGGGACTAGATGCCAGCCTGGGCCAGGGGATGTAGGACTTCCTTTCCTATCCCTGCAGGGCTGAAGGCTGCTGACCATTTCTCTCTCTGCAGGTGGCGCTGCTGCCCGATGGGAGTGCCCTGGCGTGTTGGATGAAGTCGGTGCTTGTACCACACCATGTCATCATGTGTCTCTAGCCCGCCCAGTAGCGACCGGACCACCCCCCAGGATGAGCTGGGGGGCAGGAGTGGCAGCAGCGAAGGCCAGAAGCCCTGTGAGGCCCTGCAGGGCCTCTCATCGTTGAGCATCCACTTGGGCATGGAGTCCTTCATTGTGGTCACCGAGTGTGAGCCGGGCTGTGCTGTGGACCTTGACCTGGCCCGGGACCAGCCCCTGGAGGCCGATGGCCCAGAGGTCCCCCTCAACCCCTCTGCATCCCAGGCCCGGCCCCACCTCTCTGGTCGCAAGCTCTCCCTGCAGGAGCGGTCTCAGGGTGGGCTGGCGGCCAGCGGCAGCTCGGACGTGAACGGCCGCTGCATCTACCCGTCCCTGCCCTACTCACCTGTCAGCTCCCCGCAGTCGTCACCACGGCTGCCCCGGCGGCCCACAGTGGAGTCGCACCACGTCTGCATCACGGGGATGCAGGTGCGTGAGCCAGCAGTGAGCTGGGCCCGGGGGGCCCTGGGGCGCAGCCCTGGTCCCTGTAGGGTCTCTGTGTTAAGTTAGGCTCTCCTGAAGGATTTGAGTGCCACAGCTGACTTGGGAGGTGACCTCAGGCAACACTGGGGGTGGAGGTGAGTGAATCAGCCAAGGGGGGCCCTGGAACCCATTACCAGTGTGGGTAGTTGGTCTTTTTGAGTCCTCGGAGTTGTTTCTGTATTCCGTATACCAGACTTTGGTCTAGCGTGTAGGTTATGAATAGCTTCTCTCAGTCTGAGGCTGGTCCTCTCTGTTCTTGCCTTCTCTTTTCCCCCTTTTTGCTACAGGGCGTGTGCACTCGACAGATGGAGAAGCACCCGCTGGTGAGGCGTGGTTACATGGCAACCCCCCTCTTCCATTCCTTCATCGCCCAGTGTGTTTTGTTTTGTTTTGTTTTACTTTTTTTTGGAGAGGTTTTTGCTATAGGGCACGTGCGCTCGCCAGACAGACAGAGACAGAGAGACAGAAAGCGAGAAATCACCCCCCAGGGGGATGGCCACGCCGCATTCCCTTCTCCTCCATTCTCCTCTTGGGATCTTGGGCACGCATGCACACGCGCCCGGCGTGAGTTAAAGCCACTGGATCCGGGACTCGAACCACGGTCGACTATGTGGGAGTCCAGCGACATAGCCATTACGCTAACTGCTGGTCCTGCCCAGTGTGTTTTTCAAGCCACTGGGTCTAGGATTCAAACTGTAGTCTACCCTGTGGCTTCCAGCCTCCAGTATATAGCACTTAACTATTGTGCTACAGGGCTGGACCTAAAGTTGATTTTTAAGAAGAGGAAACCATTTTTTTTTTTTAAAGAATAATTTTAATTTAATTTAATTTATTTATTTATTTTTTAAAATTTGACTAGAGAGAGACATACAGAGAGAGAGAGAGAAAGAAGGTGAGAAAGCAAAGCCACCAGGTCTGGGAGTCAAACTGTGGTCAACCATGTGAGCGTGTCCAGCACCTTAACTGCCATGCCACCTTCTGGCCCCCAACAATTTAAAAAAAAAAAAAAAAGATGGATATTGAAAAAATACCTATCCCTCCTGCGTGGAAGTTGAAGTGATTTCCGAGAAGTACAGAGATGAGGAATGACCGTTCGTGGCTTCCAGGATGGGCATGCATGAAGAAGGATGCAGATGAAGGGTAACAAAATTTCAGGCAGTTAAAAGGAACAGTGTTGGGACCAGCAGGTGGCAGGGTGGTTAAGGTGCTGGATTCCCATAAGGCTAACTGTGGTTCAAGTCCCAGATTCAGCAGCTTGAAAATCACACTGGGCATGTCTGTGTGCATGTTCAAAATCCAGAGAGGAAGGATTGTGGTGTGGCCATCCTCCCCAGGGAATGATCTCTCACTTGAGAAATCTGTGTCTCTCCAGTGAATGGCCTGTGGCAAAAACCTAAAACAGAAAAGGAACGGTACCCAGTGTTAGAAAATACAGTAGCAAGATGTGCAATAACTTACTGTATGTCTCCGAGTAGCGAAATAACAGAATTTGCAATGTCCTCAACACAAAGTAATGACAAATGGTGTGCTAATTAGCTTGATGTAATCATTACACATCATGTTCCCATACTGAAAAATCACATTTACCCCCACAAATACGTACAATGATTGTATGTTAATCTAACAAGTGAATAGCAGTAAATTGAAAAAAATGGTGGAAGAATACATATCAGAATTTTAATAACAGGAAAAAAATATTGTAATGACTCATTTTTTTTTTAACTTCCAGCAGGCAGGTGTGTTCACCGGAGTGGGCGGAGGGAGAGGGAGAGAGCACCAGCAATGGAGCGTGATCAGCCACTTCCCCTCTCCTCCCTTTGTTGGGATTCGGGGCATGCATGCACATGTGCCTGGCATATTTTTCAAACCACTGGGGCTGAGACTTGAATCCCCTAGGAGGCCATGTGGAATCTGGGTCCCTTAACCACTAGGCTATGGGGCCAGCCCTGTAATGATTCCTTTTGGACCAAGTACAAGAAGAAGCAAAATTTGGGTGGTTTCACTGTGGGATAGAGGCAGTGGCTGGGAGCTGTTACTGGGGAGCTGGAGAAGTTCTCTTTCTAGATTTGGATCCTGGTTATGTACCTGCCTCACAGCTTATGAGAAATCTATCTAGCTGTAAGCTTAAGATTCATTGTCTGTGTGTCTCCACTTACTTTCCAGGACTGCGTGCAGCTGAATCAGTACACACTGAAGGATGAGATCGGAAAGGTAAACATCCCTGGACCAAGGCTGGTTTCCCAGCCTGACGTTCACCGTGACGCCTCTGACACTAAGGAGGGGACCCACGGCAGCTGGCAGCAGGAGAGGGAACTTCGGAGGTGGAATTGGTGGGGAGGGTCTTCTTAAGGTCTAGGCTTTTGTGATCTTAAAAAAAAAATTAATAAAGAAAACACAAAACTTTCTTTTGTGAGAGAGAGAGAGAGGCACTCTTTTTTTTTTTTTTTTTTTTGGAGAGATTTTTGCTATAGGGCGCATGTGCTCGCCAGACAGAGAGAGACATAGAGACAGAAAGCGAGAAATCACCCCCCAGGGGGGATGGTCACGCCGCAATCCCTTCTCCTCCATTCTCCTCTCGGGATCTTGGGCGCACACGCACACGCGCCTGGCATGAGTTTTAAGCCACCGGGTCCAGGACGCGAACAGCGGTCGACTATGTGGGAGTCCAGCGATGTAGCCATTACGCTAACTGCTGGTTCCCAGAGAGAGGTACTCTTGATAAGAGTGTCTCCATACCGGGAACCAGCAGTTAGCGTAATGGCTATGTCGCTGGACTCCCACGTAGTCGACTGCGGTTCAAGTCCTGGACCCGGTGGCTTAAAACTCATGCCAGGCGCGTGTGCGTGTGCGCCCAAGATCCCGAGAGGAGAATGGAGGAGAAGGGATTGCGGCGTGACCATCCCCCCTGGGGGGTGATTTCTCGCTTTCTGTCTCTATGTCTCTCTCTGTCTGTCTGGCGAGCGCACGCGCCCTACAGTGAAAATCTCTCCAAAAAAAAAAAAACCAGTGTCTCCTACCACAATCTTCCCCTCAGCCTCCCAGCCTGCCAGGGTCACAGATATCCAGCATACTCATCTCAGCCCAGGATCTGAACCTCCCACGTGGGCTTCCCACGTGGCTCCACTATTACACAGTGGTGCCCTACCACTTGCGCCAATGTGGCTGGGCCGGTATCTTAAAAATTAAATGTGTTCTTGGGCTGACAGGTGGCATGGTGGTTAAGGGTGCTGAATTATCTCATGGCCGACCACAGGTTGAGTCCTGGACCTTGCAGCTTTCTCACTTTCTCTCTCTCCCTCTCTCCTTCTCTGGTCAAATTAAAATAAATTAATCAATAAAGTTAAAATAATTCTTTTAAAAAATTAAATGTGTTCTTACAAAAGTTCAGAAAGCTCCCAGAGAAATCTCATACCGCCATGGTGACAGTTACATTCCTCGTCAACATTAATGTTTCTTTTTCCCCCTAAAATACTCTCGTATCTACTTTTACTTTCATTGCAGCCATTGGGCAGTATCATTGTAGGGATCAAAATCTCAAAAGCCAAAAGAGAACAAGTAATACACCTGAGGGGGCTCCGAAAAGTTTGTGTAAAATGGAATTAAAGTATGAGTTTATTTTAATGAAAAAAATGGTGAGATTCATGCATAACTTTAAAAAAATATTCTTTATTGTACGATTTTATTTATTTATGTGTTTCTATTTGACGAGAGAGAGAGAGAAAGTGAGAGAGCAAGCCATCAGGTCTGGGACTTGAGCCATGGTCAGCCCTGTGGGAGTCTATAGAGTTTTAACTACTACACCATTTACTGGCCCCCCTGGATAGTTTTTGAAATAATCTAGATTTTCATGAATTTTTTGAAGATTCCCTATATAAATGAGTGAGGCATGCCAGATGTAATACAATAGGGAGTAGGGAGGACTGTGGCAGATGGTTAGTTTATGGAACTGAGGACTTCAGGGTAGGGCATAGTGAGGTCTGTGGTAAACTGTTAATATATGAAAATAAAGGCTAGATATGGTTCGTTTTTGAAATAATCTAGATTTTCATGAATTTTTTGAAGATTCCCTATATAAATGAGTGAGGCATGCCAGATGTAATACAATAGGGAGTAGGGAGGACTGTGGCAGATGGTTAGTTTATGGAACTGAGGACTTCAGGGTAGGGCATAGTGAGGTCTGTGGTAAACTGTTAATATATGAAAATAAATGCTAGATATGGTTTTTTTTTTTTTTTCCCCCAAAAGAAGCTAGAAATCTGGGTTTTCATACCAGATCTTTCTGTCTTGAAAAGTTGGCAACAAAAATCAAACTTTGTAAAAGATGTGGGTCCAACCGAATACAACTGCATGGCAGGTTTGGACAATGGCCTGCCCCATGCAGCCTCTGTACTGGGTCCTCATTTGGCAGGGTATTATGTCATGGGCGTCTCCCTTTTTCCAGGGCTCCTATGGTGTGGTCAAGCTGGCCTACAACGAGAATGACAATACGTACTATGTGAGTACCCACGCTCCCCTCTCGGCCCTTCTCTGTCCACAGAAAAGCCTCTTTCCCAGCACTCCGTCTCCTGGGAGGTGTTCGTATTTGTCGTCTCATTTCACTCTTAGGTCACATCGGTTTTGTGCATTGAGCAGGAAGTAGTACCTGTTTTACAGACGGGGAAACGGGGAGGTGGAGTGGTTGACCCAGGAAGAGCTATTCATGCAGTAAATGTCTCTTAGGGCCTTACTGTGAGCTGCCGTTCATGCCGCCTCCATAATACTGAGAACAAGGCAGGAACTAGGCCAACTGCCCGTGTAGATGAGGCTGAGGGATCAGTTTGAATCCTGGCTTTCCCCTGTGCCAAGTGTGTGACCCTGGGCAAGTGACATTTTCAGAACTGTACAACCTGTCACACCCCACCCCCCCATCACTCCAGCTCACTCCTGTTTTCATTTGGTGGCAGCGAGTCCCAAGGCTCGTGGTCTCCTAGCCAGAGAGCCGACCAAGAACGTCGGAAGCCCCTTTAGGGTTGGAGGGACTCTGGGAGTCTAGCCTCCACTCAGCTCAGTAGCAGCTCAATCCTCTCTGGAGACAAGGTGCTCACTCCATTGTCTGAGGCTGCCAGAGGGTTAGCAGCTTGGGCAGGCCTCGCAGTGGGGGACCCTCCCCTTGCCCTCCTCCCTCCTTCCTGCTTTAACCAGGACATGGGGTCTTTTTCCCTGCAGGCAATGAAGGTGCTGTCCAAAAAGAAGCTGATCCGACAGGCTGGTTTTCCACGTGAGTTCGATGGGTCAGGGCCTCTGCCCTTAGGTGCAGGAGCCGGGGCCAGACAGAGCAGATCAACTGAAAGGTGGCCCCTGCAGAGAGGCCTGGTGGGTACTCGGTCCCATTCAGGGCTTCTTCTGGAGGTAGAGCTGGGCCTCCAGATGAGGTTCTTTATTCATTTTCATTAAAAAATATTTATTAAAATATCAAGTAAAAAACAAAAATCCAATAGAGGAAAACAGTCTGGCAATTTCTCAAAAAATCAGAATGTGGAGTTTCTCATATGAGCAGCTGTTCTGCTCCTAGGAATTGCCCAAGAGAACTGAAGACAGGTTCACGTAAAGGCTTGTACACCACTGTTCATGGCAGTGCTAGTCACATCACCAAAAAGGGGAAACAACCCAGACGTCCACCGACAGATGAATGAACCTGTACGTATACACATCCGGTGGAATATTATTCAGCCGTAAAGAGGAATGAGATACTGAGTCATGCTCTAGCATTAGTAAGTCTCAAAAACACTGTGCCAAGGAAAAGAAGCCAGACATAAAGGATCACCTACGATGTGATTTCATTGATATGAAACGTCAGAATAGGCTGATCCATAGAGAAACGAAGTAGGTTAATGGTTGCCAGTGTCTAGGGAAGGTGAGTCGGAGTGGCTGCTGAAAGGTGTGGGCATTTTGGGGGAGAGCAATGAAAATGTTATGGCATTAGATAATGGTGATGGTGGTACAGCCTTGTGAATGCACTGAAAACCACTAAAACTTGCATTGGAAGGGACCAGCAGTTAGTGTAACAGCTATGCCGCTGGACTCCCATGTAGCCAACTGCAGTTCAAGTCCCGGACCCGGTGGCTTAAGCTCACGCCGGGTGCGTATGCGTGCATGCCCAAGATCCCGAGAGGAGAATGAAGGAGAAAGAATTGCAGCATGGCCATCCCCCCTGGGGGAGGATTTCTCGCTTTCTGTCTCTCTGTCTTTCTGGCGCGTAAGTGCCCTATATAAAAACCTCTCCCTCCCTCCCCCGCCAAAAAAAACAATGAATAAAAAGAAAAGCCAAAGGGCCAGCAGGTGGCATGGTGGTTAAAGGTGCTGGACTCCCACATGACCAACCATGATTCAAGCCCCAGACCCGGTGGCTCCCTTTCTTTCCCTCTCTCTTTCTCTCTCTCTCTCTGGTCAAATTGGAAAACAATAATGCATAAAGTTAAAATAAAATAATTGAAAAAAAAAAAAGACAAGAAAAGCCAAATACATACAATGGAGAAGTTTCTAGCTCTGCTCTTCCCCTCTCCTGCAGCAGCTGTCCCCTCCGATGGAGAATATCAGAGGCTGCTCCAACATGAGCTCCCTGCCAGCCGGGCTGGGCTTAAGGTCAGCTTGGGCCAAAGAGAAAGTAGATAAGAATAATCATAAGCCCCATCCTAACACCGGGCCCTGGTTTATCCTGCTTATCCGAACTCTGAGCCAGATGCTGTCTTGTGTCGCTGCTTACCGATTTGTCACTGTCGGTTTCTGCTTCTGACTTCTTCTAGTGGAGGGTGAGGTTTTCACTCGCTTAAGCTGCTCCTTACCTCCTGCCGTAGTCCACTCGGGGGCTGCCATAACAAGATACCGTAGACGGGGCGGCTTATCCAGCGGGCATTTTTCTCACAGTTGTGGAGGCCAGTGCACTAAGGGAACTTGTCACCTTATGGCAGAGAGGCCCAGCCAGTCTCTGGGGTTGTTTTTAAGGACATTAAGCCCATTCACAAGGACTCCACCCTCTTGATGTAGTCAGCTCCCAGAAGTCCCACCTCCTAATACCATCACACTGGGGATTAGGTTTCCACAGGGGAATTTAGAGAGGGGGCCATGAACCTTCAGCCTGTAGCACTTCACTTTCCCCGGCCAAGAGAGAAAATGAAATCACAATCCTCACACCTTTGTCCTCCCTCCTTGTTCTAGCTGGTCTAGCAGCATCTCCCGCCTCCTGTCTCTGCTGATGAGGCTGTTAATCCCCTCTCCTTTCCTTTGGACTCTACTTTCCTCCTCTCACATCCTGCTTCAGACACCTGCATCTTGGCCTCTCCTTTCCAAGGCTAGTCACCTCTCCATTTGTCCCTCTCGCTCTCTTTTTTTCTTTTAGATGGTTTTGCTATAGGGCACACGGGCTTGCCGGAGAGAGACAGAGACGGTGAGAGAGAAAGTGAGAAATCACCCCCACTCCCGCCAGGGGAATGGCCACAATCCTTTCTCTCACTGTATGGGAATGTCCAGCGCCTCAACTACCACGCCACCTGCTGGTCGCCCGATGATGTCTTTTTATAGCATAAAAAACCAAGCCACAGGGAAGGGAGTGATGGATTGGGAGTGACGGATTCACCTGGGGATGCTGGGATTACTGAGCCAGACCTCAGCTACCTCTCACCTCGGACCGGGTCACGTGACAGGAAGGATGGGATTCACAGAAAGGCCAACCGAGAGATCTGGGCCCTGGCTTCACTGGTTCCCAGCTGAGGAGGGGGCTAGGGAAAGCCCCTGGCAGCTCTGGCCACGCTAGCCCTGTTGATCCCTCCACTGCAGCTGCCCCTAAAGAGGAAAAGTCTCTGGGTCCTGACCCTGGGCCCATCTGTGTCTCTTCCAGGTCGCCCCCCACCCCGAGGCACCCGGCCAGCTCCGGGGGGCTGCATCCAGCCCAGGGGCCCCATCGAGCAGGTGTACCAGGAAATCGCCATCCTCAAGAAACTGGACCACCCCAACGTGGTGAAGCTGGTAGAGGTGAGGTGGTGGGCACACCGGTGGTCCAGCCCTGGCTCTGTAAATTTCCGAACGTCACTGGTTTGTAGGGAGGGCTGCAGCACATCCAACAGCCTAGCAGGGCCACAGAGTCCCTGCCCCTGCTCCTCTGCCACTGTTCTTTCCTGTCACCTTCATGCCTCCCGGAGACCAGTTATTACTCATTCAGTGGGTAAAGAAACTGAGGCTCAGAGGCCTGCTGAGCCTGCCCATCACCCATTCCTGTCTCTGCGGCTGACAGTGAGAGTTTCTTCTAAACTTACGGTAGTCGTAGCACAAAAGCTGCTATGCACGTCTTGTCACCGATGGACATGGCCATGTTCCAATAAAACTTTATTTACAAAAAACAAGCAGAGGGCTGGATTTGGCCCACAATTTGTAGTTTGCCACCTTCTGCTCTGGACTAGCAGGTCTTGCACTTGTTGGCCTCAGTCTCCCCATTATACTCTTAAAAATTACCAAAGGCACTGGAGTGCTTTTCCTTATATGAGTTTTTTTTTTTTTAAAGAATTATTTTATTTAACTTTATTTATTTATTTATTTATTTAAATTTGACCAGAGAGGGACAGAGTGAGAGAGAGGGAAAGTGAGACAGCAAGCCGCCAGGTCCAGGACTTGAACTGCGGTCCAGCACCCTTTCCTACCATGCCACCTGCCAGCCTCTATATGAGTTATGTTTATATTTTCCACATTGGAATTAAAAACTGAGATATTTTTAAACTATTAATTCATTTAAAAACAATAACGTATTGCCTATTAATATAAATAACGAGCTTCTATGAAAAATAACTTACATGAAATAAAAAAGAACAAGAAAAGTGACATAGTTTACAGTTTTGCAACTTTTTTGGGAGAATGTCTGGCTTAGTGGAAGACATCTAAATTCTCATGTCTGTATTTGCATTTGACCTGTCGCAAAATCATGTCATGTGGTTTCTGGAACATTCCCATATACTGGTAGAGAATGAGAGTGAAAAAGGCAAACATTGTCTTCATTTTAAAGAGAAAATAGTTTCGACCTTATGGGCTCCCAAAAGCTCGCTGGACATCCCACGTGTGGAGAACCTCTGTCTAGTGGACGAGGACTCGTGAATAGCATGTAATGAAGTACTGACTGCAGGGTGAGAGTGCCATGGGGAGTGTGGGAAGGGGGCAGCCAGTTTAGCCTGAGAGCTAGAGAGGCTTTTCAGAGGAAGCGACAGGTGACATGGCCCCACTTGTTCCCTGGGTGGAGAACACAGAGAATGGCATTCAGGGGAAGGAACAGCCTATGCGAAGTGCTGGAGGCCTCTGTCCAGGAGTACACCCTCTGGTGTATGTGGGGGGGCGTAGGTGCTGACCTTGCCTTGGCCCTCGCAGGTACAGAACTCTGGTTGGCTGAGGCCCTGAGTCTGACTTCCCGGCCGAGCCGGGCTCAGGGCTCCAGGCTGGTTTCCAGGCCTGGTGTGTTCCTTTCTCTGGACCTGTCGTTCCGTGCATCCGGGGTGGCTGAAGGCAGACGCGATGTGGGCATGAGCAGGAGGACCAAGACCCAAGGCCACTTGGGTCGTGAGTGGCCCTGGATCCTGGCAGGGTCCCCGTTGTCCTCACCACCCTGTGGTGTCTGGGTTTTCCACTAACAAGACTCTCCCCGCCCATCTGTTTGTTCATACATGAGACATCTCTTGAGCACCTACTATGTGCCTAGCCCTGTAAGGGCAACCAAGGTGAATACAGCTCGGTGCCTCCCCTGGGGCAGGGAGAGCGAGCGAGCAGTGCTGGGCACTTGCCGGCAGGGAGACGTCCCTTCTGCGGGGAAGGAGGGGTGCTGGTGAGGGTGTCCATGGAGGGGACACTTGGGCCTAAATAGGATCTGAAATTTCACTCAAAAGACCAGTCCCTGTCTCCTAGAAGGGTCGGATTCTTACTCAAGACATTTCCTGGGGGGAGTTTTGCCCCCTCCCTTTCGTAACCTCCTGCATGGGTGTTTCAGACCCTTGAGGAGGGGGTGAAGAGGTACTTATTTTTCAAATGGCCCTTGGGTCTCACACTTGAGGTGGCAGTTTTCCCCTGCCCACCGTCTTCACTCGGAAAAACTGTGCAAAGTGCGGCGGTCCCGTTGACAGTGCAACCCGTAAATGCTGCTTCCTCTCGCTCATGTCTCTTCTCTGTCTTCCCTCCCCGCCACTCGCCTCCGCCGGCCTGTGTGTCTGCGCCCACAGGTCCTGGATGACCCCAACGAGGACCACCTGTACATGGGTAAGACCTCCGTTCTCTGCCGCCCTTGCCAACACTCGGGTCCTCGCAGGACACCACGCACTAAAGACAGCTTCCCCTTTCCTGGCCCAGGGGGGCCCCACAGAGCCCCACACAAGGCCACACCCTTGACTGGAAGCAGGAAGTAGAAAGGACTTCGTTTGTCTGGCTCCCTTATTCAGTCATTTGCAGATATTTACTGAATACTCCTTATATCCAGGCACTGTTTTAGATGAGACATAAAAAATGCTAAGAAATTATTATTTTGGGGGCTGGCAGGTGGCATGGTGGTTAAAGGTGCTGGACTCCCACATGGTTGACCATGGTTCAAGTCCCAGACCTGGCAGCTTGCTTTCTCTCTCTCTCTCTCATTCCATCCCTCTCTGGTCAAATTAAAAATAAATAAATAAAGTTAAATAACTTAATTCCTTCTAAAAAATATATTATTTTAAAAAGGATGATTTAACTTTATAATTATTTTATTAATTTTTTTAGAGAGTTGTTTTTTTCTATAGGGCAGGCATATGAGCTAGCTGGAGAGACAGAGACAGACAGAGAGATAGAAAGCAAGAAATCACTTCTCAGGGGGGATGGCCACACCACAATTCCTTCTCCTCTACTCCCTCTCGGGGGGGATCTTGGGCATGTATACACATATGCCTTTAGTTAAAATAGGTGATGCACAGGAAGCTTAAAGGCTGGGTGTACCTACTATATCACGTACTCTACATAAAAAGTTAGACTAAAAACAATTTTTGTTCTCGTGATTATAATTTTCAAAAAGTCAAATTATAATCTTAAATATTTTATGGTTCACCACTATAAAAATAAAAATAAGTGTATTTTCACAGAACTTTAGATATGTGTTAAAAAGCTATGGGTTTTTTTTTGGGGGGGGGTGTTTTTTAGTTTTTGCTATAGGGTATGTGTACTCACTGGAGAGAGAAGGAGAAAGTGAGAAATCACCCCCAGGAGGGATAGCCATGCCACAATTCCTTCTCCTCCATTCTTCTCTCTGGATTTTGGGCATGCACACACATATGCCTAGTGCATTTTTTCAAGCTGCCAGCTGGAACTGCGCAGTTGCTCATGTGAGAGCTATTGTACCTGCCTTAACCACCACACCACAACCACCACACAACCTGCTGGCCCTGTTAAGATTTTTAATTTTTTAAATTTTTAAAAATTTTTGCCAAAGAGTGTGTAAACATGGCAGAAAGAGATATGAAGCGATAAAGCACATCCCATGGGTATAGAATGCCTTATTCCCTTCCCCTCCATCCTCCTCTTGGGATTTTGGACACACACACACACCCACCCCTGGGGTGTTTCTCAAGCCACCAAGTCTGGGACTTGAACCACATTGTCAGCCTTGTGGGATACAGATGCTTTAATCACTAGGCTACAGAGCTGGCGCAGATCCGTTCTTTGGCATAACATCAGTCATAGCCCTGGAACCTTCCAGGCGGAAGTAGAGGGACCATGAGCTGTCCTCACCTGCATCCTTCCTCCTCTGCCTTGGTTGACCCTTGGCTACTTTGAGCACTAGCAGTAAAGCCAGGCTAGGGGCCCGGGATATCTGAAAACTCTGGTTCTTTGCCTCCCAATGGGAACTTAGCAAACAGGACCCTGAGCAGCTTTGGTTCGGTGCACTGCCCGTCTCCCCAGGCCCGCAGTATTAGCTTCTGTGTTTCTTGGTGTTTCTAGAGATAACGGGGAGATTGGGGAGGGAGATGGATTTCCATTACCCCAGTGTAACAGTTTACCCCTTTTTCTCCTCTCCAGTGTTCGAACTGGTCAACCAAGGGTGAGTGTCTCAGCTCTTGGCCGGGGTGATGCCAGAAGCTTCTCGAGCGCTGCGCTTTGCTGGTGAGAGAGGGTAAGGGTCGGGTGACTCTGGTTGGGATTTCACGTGTGTGTTGACCTTCCAGGCCGGTGATGGAAGTGCCCACCCTCAAACCGCTCTCTGAAGACCAGGCCCGTTTCTACTTCCAGGATCTGATCAAAGGCATCGAGTACCGTAAGCGGGATCTGTGGGATGACAGCACAGGGAGCGGGTGAAGTGTGGAAGGTGTCTTATTTCTCTCCTGGAGCACAGGATGTGGGTGGGAAGCAGTCAGCTGCAGAGAGCCTTTCTGGGGCTGTGCCCCTGGGGAGAAGAAACCCTTCTTCCTGCCCCACAGGAAAACAAAGAGCAGTCGTAATAGTGATCATTTTTCTAGCACTTTCTGTGTGTTCTAGACACTGTTAGGGGCTCTGCTTGCATTGTCTCACCTTGTGATGGAGATCCTGTCAATCTGCTGGGCCCTCCGTTTCCTTCTCTGTAAACTGCAGATAGAGCATTTCTCACCGGGGCTGAGATCAGCCCAGTACACCTCAGTGGTTCTGATGGGCAGGGTCCTTTTCGTTTCTGGTCGTTAAACATTTTGACTCTTATTCCTGCGGATCTTCTAGGATGCTGTGAGATTTAACCAGGATAAATGTTCAACACTTACCACAGGGTCAGGTCCAAAGGGAGCTGTTGATGGTGGCCTCATCGTCTTCATCACCATCATCATCACCCTGACGTGGCAGCTGGGTCTTGTAGACCACAGGATTGTCTGTTGCCCTTGGCTAACATCCAGGCAGGAACAGTTAACCAGGCCCCTGGGTTTGCTTTGTGGTTCACACTTCAACCCATTCTGGTCGTGGTTGGCTTAGTGGACGAGCTGAGTGTTGTCACTGGGAAATCAAAGTGTGTTTGACTGTCATGAGTCTCTGGGCTCCTAGCTGGGAGCCATGCTCAACAGAGACTTTCCCAGCACCTTCACTGTGACTTAGACTCTTAGGCAGTTACAAATCCTATCAGCAATTGGTGTTTACTTTTGAATGTTTTGTTTGTTTTAGGTTTTTGTCACAGGGTGTGTACGCTCACCAGAAAGAGACAGAGTGAGAGAGCATGAGAAATCACTCCCCGGGAGGATGGCCATGCTGCAATCTCGTCTCCTCTGTTTTCCTCTTGGGATTTTGGGCATGCACAAGCACCAGAATGATTTTTAAGCTTCCAGGTCTGGGGCTCAAACCACAGTTGGCCATGTGGGAGTCCAGAGCCTTAACCACTACACCATCTGCTGGCCCCTGCTCTTCAGTTTTGAGAAAGGGGTGGACTTCTTTGATTATATTATTTCCCCTTTTATCTTTCAGAGCCTGTGGGTGCCCAGCAGGTTTGAGGAGGGGAAGGCCAGGAAGGGCCTGGGGCCATAGGAGAGGAGGGACCAGGCGGGCGCGATGCTCGTGTTTGGGCCCTGTGGCCACATGGAGACCCTTATGAGGTTTTCCCGCTTTGTCTCTTCTGTCCTGTCTGCCCCACCCCAGTACACTACCAGAAGATAATCCACCGGGACATCAAACCTTCCAACCTCCTGGTCGGAGAAGATGGGCACATTAAGATCGCTGACTTTGGTGTGAGCAATGAGTTCAAGGGCAGCGACGCCCTCCTGTCCAACACCGTGGGCACCCCCGCCTTCATGGCCCCTGAGTCGCTCTCAGAGACCCGCAAGATCTTCTCTGGAAAGGTGGGTCTGGACCTGTTGGAGCTGCTTTCTGCCTGTGTTAGGGTCCTTTTGATTGTAAGTGGCAAAAACCCAAACTCTGGCTTAAAAAGTGCATCCACTGGGTCATATAGCTGAGGAGTAGGGCTTCATTTAGCTTTGGGCTTGTCTGGATAGAGAGCCTCAACCTGGAATCAGCTCTGTTTTCCTGAATTGGTTTCCTTCCCAGGTGGGTTAGGCGCCCATAGCTCCAGCCTCCTCCCTGTCAGTTCACCAGCTTTGGTAGAAAGAGCATTCCTCCCTCTGAGTAGTTCCAAAAGAAACCCTGGCATTGGCTCTGATTGGCCCAGGGCAGGTCATGTGCACTTCCTTGAACCAATCACTAGGGTTGGGGGAAGAGTGCTTTTATTGGGCAGACCTGGGTCATGTTCCTACCCCAGAGGCTAGGGAACAGGATCAGCCCCACTCCATTCATTGGACTGACAGTCAAGAACAGGTGGTCCCCAAAGGAGAGCTGGAACATTGTATCCTGGTCGGGCAAAAGCAGTAGTTGACACCTGTCACCACCTTGTTCCTCCATGCCAAACTCTTTTTCTTGTAGGCCTTGGATGTCTGGGCCATGGGCGTGACACTGTACTGCTTCGTCTTTGGCCAGGTAATAGAGTGGGGTGTCCTGTCCTCTGAGGGCTGCCGGGTGGTTCTAGTTACCCTTGCAAGAAGGCAGTACTTACTCATTTATTTATTTATTTAAAAGAATTATTTAATGTATTATTATTACTTTTAATTTGACCAAAGAGAGACATAGAGTGAGAAGTCAAGCTGCCAGGTCCAGGACTTGAACCACAGTCGGCTATGTGGGAATCCAGCACCTTGAACCACCTGCTGGCCCACTACTTACTCATTTAAAAGTTGGATCATTTTATTTTCACAGCTAGGTTTGAATATGAAAGAGGATGCCTTCTCATGTCTGTATATGATCGTCATATCTGTGAGAATACAGTCTTGTTATTGATATAGCATTTGTAATAGTTGATGAATTTAGGGCAAAGACAGCAAATGGCACCCCTCTTCTCACTCCTGAGCCCACAACAGACATCACTAATCAATAACTGCATTCTTTCTTGCGGACACTGATTTGATGTGCTTTCACCAGAGTTCCCAGAAGCTGTTGTCTGGAACGGACAATACAAATCTATTTGGCATTATGGATTAAGGAAGTGCTGTCTTGTGTTTTTTGTTGTTGTTGCTCTTTTTTTTTTTTTTTTTTTTTTTTTTTTTTTTTTAGAGAGATTTTTCCTATGGGGCACATGCACTTGCCAGAAAGACAGAGAGAGACAGAGAGACAGAAAGTGAGAAATCACCCCCAAGGGGGGATGGCCACACCACAGTCCCTTCTCCTCCATTCTCCTCTCGGAATTTTGGGCACACACAGGTGCCCGGTGTGAGTTTAAACCACCGGGTCCGGGACTCGAACCACAGTTGGCTACATGGGAGTCCAGTGACAGCGACATAGCAATTACACTAACTGCTGGTCCCTGTTGTTGCTCTTTTATTGTTATTTTCATGCATATTTTTAAAACTTTATTTACTGAGAGAAACTCCCAATAGGGGCTTGCCAAGTCACAGTCCTCGCCCAGTCTTCCAGCCAGTCAGGGCCATAACCACACTTGTGCCTGTGCCTGCCCGTTCATTGATGCCCAGGGTCCGAATCCTAGGCCCTCCCACATGGCTTCGGCGTTACATAGCGGTGGCCACCGCAGCGAGGCTCTGATATTATTGCTATTTGGAGGCTTCTCTTTTTAACTCTAAGGTTCATTTTAAATAGTGAGCAATAAAAATGTGGTTCCCTTTCCTTAGCTTGTGCTTGTATTGAAGGAAGCTTAAGAAAAACTGGTCCCATGAAAAAGGAGTTTACAGCTATTCTCCATTCCTCTGTCCGTCCCTAATGCATCTGATTTTTTAATGCATTTCATAGTGAGTTGCCAGCATCTCTCCTCCTTTCTAAAGGCTTTAGGATGCAATCTCTAGCTGGAGCTTCATATTTGTAGTCTTTTTTTTTTTTCCTTTGAGACAATTTACTTATAACGAAAGGAGCAGACCGTCAGTGTTCTAGACATGAGTTTTGGGAAATGGACGCACCCATGCAATCCAGACCCCATCTCAAGGTGGTGCTCTCATGGAAGCATTCCCTGGACAGCAGTGGGCTGGTAACTCCCTGCCAGTCCTCACAGTGCCCCATTTTAGGTTCCTTCTCCCGCACACATAACGGGGCTCTTACCTGTCGCCAGGGAGGTGCTGCAACAAGTCATCTTTAGACTCTGCCCCACTGAGGCTCAAATGACCCTCTGCACTTCCGGGACATGCAGTCTCTCTGAGCTTCATTTCTTCTGTCGTCAAATGAGGACGGTATTACTTCTTATGGTTTCTGGGAGGTTCAGTAGAAATCATTAGAGTATTTGTGAATTCAGCAGGTATTTGGTGAGCCTCTGATTCATGCCAGGAATGTTCGCAGGCAGTGAGCGAGGCAGACGAAAATTCCTGCCTGCTGGGAACTGCTGTTCCTGTAGAAGAGTTACTCGGTAAATGAATACCAGGGGACTTCAGAAAGTTTGTGGAAAAATGGAATCGAAGTACGAGTTTATTTTGGTGACAACATTTTTGAAATCTGTGCATAGTTTTTTTTTTTGGAGAGGTTTTTGCTGTAGGGCGCATGCACTCGCCAGATAGACAGAGAGAGACAGAGAGACAGAAAGCGAGAAGTCACCCCCCCAGGGGGGATGGTCATGCTGCAATCCCTTCTCCTCCATTCTCCTCTGGGGGTCTTGGGCACGCACGCACACACGCCTGACGTGAGTTTTAAGCCACTGGGTCTGGGACGCGAACCGCGGTCGACTACGTGGGAGTCCAGCGACATAGCCATTACGCCAACTGCTGGTTCCTCATAGTTTGTTTTTTAAATAACATGTGAGTGCCTTTTCCATGAACCTTTGAAGACCCCCTCATGTGAACATCAGGAATAAATGCTAAGATGGCAAACAACTGGCTAGCAGGCAATGGAGTCTGTTTTTTAAAAAATAATTAATTAATTAATTAATTATTATTTTAATTTGCTATAGTGTGTGTGTGCTCACCAGAGAGACAAGAGAGAAAGTGAGAAAGCAAGCCACCAGGTCTGGTACTCAAACCACAGTTACCCGCCTGAGAGCCCAGCTCCTTAACTACGACACCACCTGCTGGCCCCTGGAGTCTGTTTTAGACAGAGGTACAGGGAAGGCTCCCAAAGAAGGCAAGCTTTAGGCCAGGCACATAACCGATAGAGCAATAAGCCGTGCAAATGTCGGTGGTAGGAACATTCCAGGCAAAGGGAGCAGTACAGGGCCTGCTCGGATCACTGCTGTTGCTACCACAGCTTCCAGTCGTTCTGGTGGTTGCCGTTTTCACCAGGCAGGTGGGTAAAGACGTGTAAGAGTACAAGCTGAAGCCACGGTGGTGGGAGGCCGCGGTGTGGCTGGGAAACGCTCTCGTCCTTCCAGAAGGACATTTTTAGTCCTAGAACTTGGAGGATAGGAGATGCCCCCTCCCTTTACTAGGCCGGGTCTCTGCTGTGACCCGTGGCCCTTGAAGGACAGACACGGTGCCGCTGACCCCGCCCGCTCTGGCCTGTTTTCGCAGTGCCCGTTCATGGACGAGCGGATCATGTGTCTACACAGTAAGATCAAGAGTCAGGCCCTGGAATTTCCAGACCAGTGAGTATCCCACTTTTCGCTGTCACCTTCCCTCCGAGTCCTCGCGGTCTGTGTGTCCCTCTCTGGTCCCCAATGTGTCTGTCACCTTCCAGGCCCGACATAGCAGAGGACTTGAAGGACCTGATCACCCGAATGTTGGACAAGAACCCCGAGTCGAGGATTGTGGTGCCAGAAATCAAGGTACCCAGGGCCACTGCTGGACCCACAGGGCTGGATCCTAGATGGGACCTCGCCCTGCTCTGCCTGCGCTTGGAATTATTTGGCTCCACCCCACCTCCGGCCGGCCCCGCTCCTCCGTGCACTGAGTCATGTGGCACCGCTGCCCTCCCTAGCCCCAGGCCTCAGGGCTACTGGGGGCTGGCAAGGGGTTGGGAGGAGGATTGGGGAGTTGTGTGCGCTGCAATTGTGCGAACGAGATCTGCGACTGATGACCGGGCAGCCTGCACTTGGTCAGACTAGCTGGGCAGACGGCATCCCCCCTCTGCAACCCGTCCCATGGGGGCCTGTGTGTTCCACAGCCCCAGACCTCACTCCGCTCCTTGACCCTGTTGAGATGAGGCCTGCCGCTTTCAGAATTGCAGTGACAGTGGGAGAAGTTAGTGAGCAGTTTGGTCCCCCAGGCTGCTGAATCTTCGCCTGCTGCAGAAAGCGCTAAGCACCACACCCCCACCCCTGCCAGCCCCTCAAGCCACATGCACTCTCCATCCCTTTCAGTGTCTCGCAAGGAGGCCTAGAGGTTTGCAGGTGAAGGCTTGGATTGCGGGGGTAGTAGCGGGAAGCAGCCCCCATCCGGGTCCTCCACAGGGCCTCCCTGAGCTTCAGTCTCCCGGTCTCTGAAATAGGGAGAATGTTGCCACCTCTGAACTGAGCCTTCCGGGGACTGGGGAGAATCACAGAGGAGCAATGGGCACTCCTGGACAGTCAGGGGAGGCAGATGCCCGGGGCCAGCCACTGTCCAGAGAACTGGCTCCTGGCACTCTTTCGTAGGGCCGCCCATCCTGTCTCTTCCACCTCTCCTCTCACTCACCTGCCCTCTGCCTGGCTCGCCAGCTCTCTTGCACGCCCAGCCATAGGCCCTCACCTCTCCCTCCCGCATGCTCTCCTTGCTCCACTGGCTGGCAGGGCTGGAGCCAGCCCTGCCTGCCCCTCACCCCTCCTGTCATTCGTTGAAGCTGCACCCCTGGGTCACGAGGCATGGGGCCGAGCCATTGCCGTCGGAGGACGAGAACTGCACGCTGGTCGAGGTGACCGAAGAGGAGGTCGAGAATTCGGTCAAACACATTCCCAGCCTGGCGACCGTGGTAAGGCGGACGAACCACTGACCAAGAGCAGGGACCAAGAGAGCCCAAGAGGGCCGGCAAGGACAGGGCCAGGACACAGGTGGCCTGAGAGTCAGGAGGTGGCCAGGGTCTGCCGGGCCCCCAGTTCCCATAGAGTGTAGCTTTCTCCAAGGAGCTGATTGCCCTTGAAATTCCTACTCTCAGAGCGGTCAGGGGAGAGGAGCCAGCACGGGGCTGGAACAGAGGTCTGCAGGACGAGCTTCCCCCGCTGGCCCTTCAGTCTGGGCGGATGGCCTGGCCTAGCTCACATCTGCTGCCGGGCAGTTGCCAGGGCCATGGGCCCCCACTTCAAACATCTCGGATGTTCTTCTTGGCTCCTGAGGGTGGGATTTTGCTTGAAAACCACTGGCCCTGTTGAATGGCCTTGAATTTGGATCCTGACCAGGAAGGAGCAGCCAGATGTGGCATCTTCAGGCCTAACCTTGGAGAGTCTGCACATCACCCCTTGTCTGGGAGGGCGTCTGACTCCAGGAGCCCCAGGGGTCTAGGGTGCCCACAGCTGTCCTGAGAGCAGAGACCAGTTGGCTGTCCCACGGGGCTACCTTGAAAGTCCTGGTTGATCTTGTCCAGCACTGGCCCCAACAGGCAGGCTGGGCCCTGGGCTCTGGGAGGGACCCAGAGACTGCCCAGCCTCAAGGCACTGCCCTTTAGGAGCCTGGATGCTGGCTCCGTCTCTCCCAGCTTCGCATCTCTCCCTCCTTCCCACACACTGCCTTTCTCCTCCTTCCAAAACCAGAGTCCCCAGGGCTGGGACATTCCTCTGTATTCTGTCCTGCCCCACCTGGGGCCTCTGCATGGCCTTCACTGTTAGACTCAGCTACAGCCACCCACCTTCCTCATTCTCCCTTCCACCTACACCCGCGCCCTGCGCCTCACGGCAGGGCAGGCTCAGGATGTCCTCGTCATGACCCAGTCCCCTCCTTCTCCCCAGGTCTGAGCTGCAAGTTCTTGGGAGAAAGCATCTAGCCCTGGGGGTCTGAAGCAGCCCTCCTTGTTCAGGAAATACTCCTACACGTGGTTCTGCAGGCCTGTGCCGGGGTGCCGGGTGGGGGTCACAAGGAACAAAACTGTGCAGCCCCTGCCAGTCTAGGGGCTCAGGTGCTGGCCAAACACTGCCAAATACCTGCAGTCGAGGGCCACAGGCTTTCCCCAGTAGTGCCGGGTCAGAACAGGCGTCCTGGAAGTAGATAGCCACTGAGAGAGTGCCAGGGTGTTAACCCAGAGCCTGACAAGAAGGGACAGCACACTCAGTGTCCTCTGCTGGGAGGGAACTGGGCCCATGAGAAGCTTCCAGAAAGCCAGGGCCTTTGGGGGAGGTTGGGACGGTGCAGGGACGTTTAAATGCAGATCCCAGAGCCCTGGGCAGTTGCTGCAGGGCTTGTATCCCTGGTGGATTTTTTTTTGCTGAAATCGCCATAGGGAGGGAAAACGGACATGAGAAGGCACCCTTGGGTGGTACAAGGAGCCGGGTGGGCAGGGGCTGGGGAGTGGTTCAGTGTGGGAGAGAATTAGGGGGGACCCAGGCTCTCTCTGTGTCATCACTCAGCAAACACTCCTGAGCACCCAGCACGTGCCAGGCGAAGGCCTGTGAAGCTCAGTGCTAGCTCTTAGGGGACTGCCGGCCTCAGAGGAAGGATGGCCCCCCCAAAGACGCTCGCCTTCTGGAGAGAGACCAGTGTACAGAATGGCAAGCTCTGGGAGCCTCCTAGAGGCGGCTCCTCCACTGGCCACAGGGGAAGGGCAGGGTGGCCTCACCAAGAGAATGACACCTGCCAAGGCTCGGAGGAAAGGGGCTGGAGTGATGTGAGGGCCTGGCCTTGAAGCCGGGGCAGGGTGATGGACCTGGGTGACTCATCCAGTGAAAGCTTAGGTGGACAGATGGTGCCAGGTATGCCCAGGTGACGGAGCAGGCCAGCTCTCCTGGAGCACGGCCTGTGGGGGCCGAGTGGGCTGGGACTAGATTGTGACAGGCCTTGAATGCAGACCCAGGAGATTGGATCTATCTTCCTGGCAGCCAGAAGCCATGGCAGACTTCGGAGCACGGGAGTGACCAGTCAGACTTAGGGATGGCTTTGGCGGGTGTGTCCTGGGTGAGAACAGTGCTGCCCAGTTTCCTTCAAAGGCCTGCCACCAGCTTTGAACCTGGGAGCTGGCAGGGACCAGGAAGGGGAAAGCTGGAAGACTCTGCCTGGCCAAGCAGTCACCCTCCTCCTCTTTTCTCTTCAGATCCTGGTGAAGACCATGATCCGTAAACGGTCCTTCGGAAACCCGTTTGAGGGCAGCCGGCGGGAGGAGCGCTCATTGTCAGCCCCTGGAAACCTGCTCACGTGAGTGTCCTCAAGCCTTCTTCCTGGGTGGGCAGCCTTGCCATCCGGAATCGCTGCCATCTGAGAATACTCCGACAAGACCTGCCGGGCATCCTGGGGAAGCTGACAGCGGCTGGCTTGGTTTCAGCTCACGGTCTGGGCTCCACCTTTTGCTGATCCACACTGAAGTTTTGCCTTTCCTAGGGGAACCTGTACTTGAATTGGGGGATTCTTGACATCCTGCAGGCACTTTCATGGCCTGGAAGCCTGAGTGCCCACTGGTGGGGTTTTGGCCCTACGGTGGGTGAGCAGTGTGGTCTTGCAGGGACCCTGTATGTTGGCACAGAGTGGGGTCCACTCACCTGCTGGTCAGGTCTGTCCTGGCGCTGGCCTGAGAAGCTGGCATTTGGGTCTGAGTGTCTGTTGGGTGGGGACGGGCATCCCACGGATCCCAAGGGTGCCTTCTCATGTCCCTTTTCCCTCCCTATGGCGATTCCAGCAAAAAAACCACCAGGGATTGTGAGCCCCTTTCCGAGCCCAAGGTAACGCCTGGCCTGCCTGCCTGCACCTCTCTCTGTGGGGGCCTGGGGGTGGGGCAGCTGCAGAGCGCGGGCGGCTCCACCAGGCTGTGTCCTTCCCAGCCGGGGCTGCTGATCCCAGCCTAAAACGAGGGGCATCAAGGGGCTTGGACCCGACAGTGGGTCGTGCATGTGAGCTGGGGCTGTGGGTGCATGGCGCTCCACCTGGAATGCCTGTGAGTCCACCCATGTCTGATGACCCAGCTGGACACCCCATTCACTCAGTGCACGCCATGGCACCAAAGCTGCCTCGGCCCGCGCTGCCCCTGCTCCGAGTCTGCGCAGCTCAGCATGGATCAGACGTGCTGCAGTCTGGCTCCTCACTGGGGCTCTCTGGCCGGCTGCTGTCCTTCCTTCTCTGATGTGTGAAGACCTAGAAATTAAGCCCCTTTTTGGCCTGCTGGACAGTGATGCGAGTCTTCTGACTCCAAGAGGGTCAGATTCCCTTCTTCCAAACACCTATGCAGGCGGGTGACTGGCACTTCCCAGGACACATCAGAATGTTTGTCCCTGTTGGGCTGGGGACCTCCTGGACTCTCCTGCTGCCGTTTGTCCTCCGAGCGTCCATGGCAGTGTGGTGGCCCCAGTATCCCTCCGACTGAGCCTGACTCGGCCACCTGAATCCCAAGTGGGGGCTCCAGGCAGCCACTTCTATTACCAAAAAATTAGTTTTATTGAAATATAATTCACATACAGTACAATTCACCCACTTAAAGCGTATACTTCAACGGTTCGAAAAATATTCACAGTTAATGTAGCCATTATCACAGTTTCAGAACATTCCCATTAACCCTAAAGAAGACTCGTAGCCCTTCCCTTCCAACTTTCCCACCCCACCCCACCCCCACCCACCTCTAATTTAAGTTCTCTGAATTTGCCCATCCCAGGACATTTCATAGGAGGGGATCACGTGCTGCAGCCTGGTGTGGCCGGCTTCTCTCCCTTTGCATCCCCATTGCTGCCCGCATCTGTGCTCGCGCCTTCATGGCTGAGCACCGTCCCGCTGTGTGAGGACACCACACACGCTGGTCCGTCCATACACGAGGGCTGCTTCCACTCGGGCTCTGGAGAGAACATGCCGCTCTGCACAGCCGTGTACAAGGGGTCGCCGCTTCTGATTGTTCGGAGTTGGCTCTTGAGAGGCCATTTATCCACCGCCCATCCCACAAGGAGTCAGGGGCTTCCGTGGTAATCTAGGAGTACTTATTTGGGAATTTCCTATGCTTTTGAGAGGAACGGCGCCCTCAGAGCAGGGGCAAGGCAGTTAGCAAGGAAAGCACGTCTTCGGCAGCGTCTGGTGGCTGCCCCAGGCCCCCGCCTCATTCCCTGGCATCTCTGCAGCCCCCTGCAGTTGAGCGTCACTGATCATAGGGACCAGAAGCCCCTGGGCTGGCCCTGGGGAGGCCTTCCCGTTCAAGTTCAATTTTAGGATCAGCCCAACAGAGACTGCCTCCCATTTGGAAGCGAGTCTGTGGTGTGCATCGTTATTTTCAGTGAAGTCAAATCGCAAGACACCAGCAGACCATGACTGGCCCAGAGGGGTTTGGCTCTCCTCCATTCCCTCACCGAGGGGCTACCTGTCCTCTGCTGTGGGTGGGCTGCTGTGGGCCTGAGAGCCTCACAGGGCTTCCTCGGTCACGGGAGTCAGACTAGAGGCCTACCTGCTGTCTGCAGTGGGACCCAGTCCATGGGAGCAGGCCGCTGCGAGGTCAGAAACTGAAGGCCTGGTTTGGCATCTGTGCTGTCTTCCCCGGGAGGCTGTACCCAAATACTGTGTCAGAAACACGAAAGGTCTGTGGCTGCACCACGGAGGGGTTTCTCTCTGTGAAGGCACAGACGCCAGGGTTTCTCTCCTGTTGTGTAGGGCACAGCTTCCTTCTGGGCAGGGCACAGATTGTTGCTAGGCATGATTGATGGTGGTCCCAGGAGGCAAGCCCGACAGCTTCTCTTAGAAGGGGAAACCTGCATGGTGGTGTCGGGGAGCTGGGTCCCTCCTTGGGAGTTTCCCATCACTTCTCGTCACCACCCACAGCCATCACACAAGGCAGCTCCCATTGGGGGCTCTTCAGGGAGGGCCCTTCTTGTCCCTGCTAGTTGGCTTCCCTTGGACCTGGGTCTCAGAGAGCTGGGGCAGCTGTGGACAGCTGTTTCCTCAAGGCCCAACCCGGAGGCCCTGCTCACTGTGCTAAGGAGCTCATGGTCCAGTGACGGACGTCACAGCTGCCACCCTGAAACACTTGGGAGCCTAAAGGGGAGGAAAAGTGAAGACAGCTAAAAAAAAATCCCTGAGAAACAGGCCCCGAGTGGGGTCCTCATACTGCCTGTGACCTGTGTGATGACACAGATAGTTTTATATTATTTTATAGGCCCTTCTATTTTGGGCATATGATGTTGGTCTTTCATCTAAAGAGGAGTTGCAAAGTCTCCTTTGAAACATGTATATGCACAAGGAAAAAAGGGGAGATGGTCTCAAAGGAGGTTAAGTAAACCATGCCAGGTGCTACCAGATACACCCCTGAGCAGGAGGTGCCCCAGCTGGTGGAAGTGGTTCGGGGCCCTGCCCCCATTCTCTGGGTCTTAACATTGGTTTTCTGTTTGGTGAGCAGGGAACAAGGCAGCGAAGACAGCCTCCGGGGCACCGATCCACCCCCCGTGGGGGAGGAGGAAGTGCTCTTGTGAAAGGCAGTCACCACGTGGAAAGTTGGGGGGTCCCGGCCCCCGGCTTCCCTGCACGCATGCATCCACTGCGGCCAGAGGAGGTGATGGAACCCGAGTAGCTGCCTGGATCCCTCAACCTCGCATGCCCGGCTGCGTCGCCTCCACGCGGGCTGCTGCACCCCGAGTTTCCATAGCAGCATGACCTACGGAAACCAAGCACGTGTGTAGAGCCTTGATCGTCATCTCTGGTTATTCGTTTTTCCTTAGTTGTTTTAAAGGGGACACAGAGAAAAAAAAAAAAAAAAAGGACTGGACTCCATGGCGTTGACCTGGGCCGCTGGCTGGCTGAACGGACAGGTGTGAGGGGTTGCAAAGCCAAACTCACGTGCTTTTTGGGACAGTTGCTTTTTAAAACATTTTTATGCCAAAAATCCGTTATTGTGAATTCAGAACCATGTCAGATATACCACGTAGATAAGTGTGGGGTTTGAAAATCATGGAACAGTGAGCACAACCCTCTGACGGGCTGAGGCCATGGAGTTCGCTGCTGCAGTTGAGAGGCAGTGGAAGGTTGGATGTGGCTTCTTGTACAAACCTCAAACTGTGGCATGTTCCAGAACCATGGACTCAAGGAGTCAGGGCAGGGCTAGCCCTGGGTAGCTGCAGGGAGCTTCAATGCAACCTACTTATAAGAAGGACTTTTTAATTTTTTTTTTTAATGGGTAGAATTGTAGTTAGAAAAACAGAAAGGGCTTGTGGTTTAAATGCTTCTCTGAGGGAATTTTCCAGCCCTCAGAGGGTATTGGCAGCTGTGGTGGGAAAAGTTTCGCCTGGGAGACTGAATGTGTTCCATTCTCACAGCTGCTCACAGTGGGTTTCTGAGGTGGCTGACTGAGCGCGAGGACATCTCTGTTAAATTATGAAAACTCCAGGGTGAAATCCTACACTTCCATGTACATTACATGGCTTATGATGAAACAGAAAATACTTTGAATTCTCTAACCAGACTGAGCTCTAGAGAAGTTCAGATATTATGTAGAGCTTCCAGGATATACTTCACAGCTTCAAGCATGTGATTGGGCATAAGGCTAATGCCCTGTATGTTAGCAGCATAGCTCGTTTATAACCTGTGTATTCTAGAGACTGCTAAGGTTTTGTTTTCTTCTTAAATACTAGCCGATGGTTGTAGTCAATGAAATGCCCAGTTTCTGGCAGGTCAGTTGGGAAATACTTTGCCTTGTCTGAGATACAGACGGTCACTGGTAACTGTCGAAGCTTTGTCAGGGTCTATGTAATAATGTCGACGCACCTTTCTAGAAAAGATGGCTGAAGTCCGAAGCACTCCTTGGACTACAGGAAAGCCAGGGTTTGGTACAGAAATTCCCTTCGGTAGCCAAAAGTCCAGAAAGAAAAGATTTGTTTTTGACGTCTAACAAATATTGGAATGTTGGATTGAGGTTCCAATGCAACTTCTTCCAGAGACACAAGGGGTGAGAGCCGAGTGCAAAGGGGAGGGAAACTGGAAGGATGTTTCCTGGGAGAGTCTGAGCTCTGCTTTCCAGGACTTTGCAAACTCTGGTCTGGGGAAGTAACAGCGTCACTCACTGTGCTGAGACTGCTTTCCAGTAACTTCCGTCTGGTGTGTCCTGGTGCAAGGCCTCGTGCCTTCCTGGTCAGCCCACTCACAGAGCTCTGGGTGTTCTTGGCTTCCAGGTGTTCTTAAAACTCTGCACCGGAGTCTGGCCAGACCTTTCTTGTTACCAGATAAGCAGTTCAGAACTTGGGAGTGCTGGCTTTGAAGAGCAGAGGATACGCGATCTCGGGAGGGCTGTCTCGGCTGCCTGCTTTCTCTGTAACCTAGCACTTCCTCTGGCTCTCCTTTAAATGGTCTGGAAAGGACTCACTCATACCGCCGCTTCTCGTAGCAGATGGTTTGATGTGATCGCAATAAGAATAAGCACCTTGCAGGAGTTAAAGCCAACAGGTCCTAACTGAGTCCCAGCCTGGCTGTGTGGACTCTGGCCTGGCCGGCAGCTCGCCCTCCTGGCGGGCAGCATGCAGAGCTTCTGCAGAATCCCCCTGTGTTTACACAACCGCATCGGGCAATGCCATTCCCCCCACCACGACCTTCCCACCTACAGTTTCCCGTGTGGAGTGCCAGTGACCAGGAGACACCTACTGTCGGGACGGATGGGTTGGAGGCGGCCCACACTGATAACTTTTTTTTTTTTTAACACCAAAGAGAGCTGTGGGAAGGAACCACCCCCCAGTAGGAAGTAAAAGCGTAGATGGCTGTGTACATAAAGCATTAGTGACCATTCTCTTGGAGCACAAACACGGACTTTTCAAAAGCCAGGAAAGGGGAGAACCTGTTAAGTGCAGCTTTTCCAGGCGGGCAAGACGGATGCCCCAAATTTCCTCCATAGCTGGCTCGTCTGTGGGACCAATTTGGTGTAAGTAGCCGGAGGCCTGCACCATTAGCCTTGAAGGAAGCACAAACACTCTCTCTGCCCACCTTCTGTGTCCTCTGCCCTTCCCCACCTTCCCCATCCACCCCATTGGCTGCCAGTGGCTCCTAAGAAGGCTGCCGGAGCCCCTTGTTGGCACTTGGGGCTTCAGAGGCTGTCTTCCTGCTTGGCCGGACCCTCCTGCGAGGCAGGGCTCCCACCCCAAAGCCCTTCTAGAACATGGAGGAGAATTCCATGCAATTCGACATGCAGGCTTGGCCTGGCCCTCTCCCCCACCTTCCATGTGGCTGAGGGGAAGACCCAGGACCTCCACCCTGCTCACAAGGTGCTAGGGAAGGTTCCAGGGGTTGGCTTGACGGGTCAGGTTTTATGGGACTGCTGGCTCTTCTATTCTGCGGTTTATTTAATGCCCGATGCTCCTGTTTCATTCCTGATTCTTTCTACTATGCATTTTCCTTTTATCAGGTGTTCGAAGTTTAAATACTGTGTATTTATCACTAAAAGTACATGAACTAACAAGAAAAAAATAAGCCTTCGGTGTTTTTCCACAGATGTTTAAGCTTCTCTGTAAACTTGAAATAAACAGACAGCAAAATGGTGCAAAAGCCTGAGCCTCTTTGGGCTTTGATTTTTTTGGCCGGTTGTTATTTAGGTTGTCTGTCCTTATGTGTGTTTTTCCTTAGGCTGACAGTCAGGTGCTTAAGGCCAGTATGTCCAGCAGATGCCTGAGTTAGAGTGTGTCCTAGCAGCTCGCTGAGCGTGCGGGTCCCCGGACAGTGCTGTCAGCATCATCTGGAAGCCGGTTAGAAAGGCAGGAGCCCAGGCCTGGCTTACACCTGCTTCCCGGGGGCTCACCTCCTGCTGA